TTGTCACCGGAATGCAGACGGGTATAACGCAAACGTACTAAATAGTACCTACACTTATTACAGTTTATACGTGATTAAGGGTTAGGCTAAAAGGCTATAGCCTAGGCTCTAGGGCGGCTTATTTTGGAGGACGGCTTTTTTTTCAAAATTAAGGGTTATTATTAACTTATTAGGTACATTTATTTCAATATATTTTTTTTTATATTTTTAATAAAAACACAAATAAAAATAATTTAAAAAAGTTATTATAATATATGTATTAATATACATTTTACGATTCGTGTCTATTGTAAGAATATTACAATTATTATAACAATTCTTATTAATATGTTAATATGTAGTATGTACATTGTACATTTTCGAAAAATGTTAATACTGATCTCAGTAGCAATTGTCATTATACCACTACCCGCAACTCATTCTACAGCCTGTTACCTGCATTTAGTTATACTACCGCGTGTTTTAATGACTATTGATAATATTATTATTATGTCTAAGACCAATAAAATAAACCTTGTATTTCTCATATTTAGAATTTAAATTCATTTGAATATTGGCATTTGACGAGTGACGACGGTTCAATTTTTACCTATTTCATATTACCGTTATTTGACTGTACAAGCATTGTTTATTTGTACTGGTAACTTATGTGAAATAATAGACATGATATATTTTATTTTTAGAAGGTGTTTATTTTAAAGATTTAATGTTATATTTTTTTTCTTTATAAAAAAATGAAAACAATTTGAAGAGAAAGGTTTAGACCAAAATATATTGTTGATTCAATGTTAGGGTGGGGGGGGGGGGGGGGGGCAGAGTGATTAAGCTTAGGGGCGCCAAAACGCTAAATCTGCCACTGCATGTATAACAATACGTAAACGGGAAAATTTCTGGGAAAATCGGTCGCATCAAAATCTAATAATACACGTGGTGTATAATCGACACTCATAACATGGGCCGTGGTATAACGGTACCGGCGAGCAGAAAGGCGCGACGCATTAACTTACTGGACGAAACGGTGGAAAAAGACCCGAAAACATCTTACACGTTAACGCGATATGGTCAGGGCAAGTTCGCAACAATGCGATTTGCACACGGGTCTCGTGAAAATGACCGTTTGCGACATAAAACAACGACACAGAGCACAAACTTACCGGGCGCACGGAGCAAAGGAGACTACATTATATATATATAATATATATATTATATATTACATTAACGACGAACACGGTAGACGGCTTGCCGGACACCAGATAACGGCACGGACTTTATTGGCAATCGCCGATTATCTTCGATAATGATGTCGATAGAATTTAAGCCATGTTGAATCGCGAACAAAGTCCATACGATTTCGTCAGAGGTGAGGTAATCATAATCTAAAAATTAACTCATAACTGCTATGAAACTGCTGTTTTCTTCTACATTACAGTGAACTTCGCAATTATTGTAGAAATCTCATAAATATGTTTTTGTGCATAATTATTTTATTTTAAATAGTTCGCATAAACTACAATTTTTGTTCCATAATAATTAATACGTTTCATTTTCCTCAAGTTATTTTAATTTATTAGAAGCATTCTGTGGCTTACATTGAAATGTTATAGGTACTATTTTATCAGTTTGTTGGAATATATTACACATATTCAGGCCTTGATTTATGTAAGTGCAGATAGAGCACTTGCACTTGGCTCCTAATTTCTGGGCGCTCGCGGGCTCTGTAAATTGTAGAAAATTGTCTTTTTTAAATTAATTCCACAAAAATTTATTTTGTAAATGTAATACCAACTGTCAGTGTTCAGAGTTTAGTATATTTTTATCATTAAATTGTCAGTTGAATTTTGGTTATTACTTATTTTTGTCATTCCACATCCCAGTGCTAATCAGTTATCATCACAAATTATTAAGATATTAAGATAATAATATTAGAAAATTGTTTGAACATTGGAAATATTTGATACCTAATAACTATTTATAGATTTTTTTGAGCCCAGTATTTATAGATACACTTTCAACGCCGTTGATGCGTCCCCTAGATTTTTTTTTAGAACATTTTTTTTGGCCTTGGGCCCCCCCCCCCAAAAAAAAAACTGTGCACTTGAATCTAATTTTATTAAATCAGGCCTTGCACATATTATAAATTGGATGATATGTTGTTATGTACTAATATAATATTGCGATAACTCACTACCTATAGGTGTTTAGTAATGTTTATTCGGTTCTATAAATTTCAGATGTACTTAATTAATCGTTAGAAGATTGCTTATACATTTAAAAATAGCATGCATTTTTAACTATTTTATTAAGTTAAGATAAAATATGCTTATTCAACAAAATATTTTTGTACATTATTATTTGATTTTTTAAGTAATTTTTTTCCCGAACTATAGCCCATTGATATTATAATTTTATATTATGTTATGATCTATTCATTAGCTATATTTATACATGCATAGTAAAGGCGTTTTTTAGTTTTTTATTAATATGTTATATTGAAAAATTTTTAAAAACGTTGTTCACGCCACTGTCTTTTCACGGTCCGAACCGGTCCGCGTAATCGCAGGGTATAATGAAATTTTCGGCGACCCCTTCTTCTATAATCACGGCTTTTGTTGACACTGCATTCACTCGTTATATAATTTATATTCACTATTCAGTTCGTCACGGTCAGATTGTGAGTGTCGGGGTCGTGTCCGTTTTGCGTCGTCTCCGTTTTTAGTGCGAACCTGCGGAAATCGCATTGACCCGTGCGACGTGTATCGGTATAATTACAACTTCTATTATATTTATATTTTGAAGTGTTCACGTCGTTTCATGGTCACTGACGTCGTATTTGGGTTGACATCCCCCTGAACTCAGTGCGATCGGAGCTTACGATGTGGTCCATGCATGTTTCTTTTCTTCACTTCCGTTCTACTCCATAATATATTTTGAAGAGTGAAGTGCGAAATTATGTCGCGGGCATTGGATTATCATTACAGTCCATATATTATATTTATTATTAAGTCCACGATATGTATACATTATATTATATATTTATGTTAAGTGTCGAGCCGCCAACGTTGATCCAGAGATATATTTAATATCTATGTATCATAATCGAGTTCTGTATCTATATTCGGCGATCATACGTGCCATTGTCTGACGTCCGTCCTTTCCGTCCTTGCGTATCTATTTCGATTGCCGGACTGATAATAACAGTAACGGCCAATACAGCAGTTTTAGCTGCCGACGAGTTACCGCCGCCGTTTGCATCGACCATCACCAGGGATTGATAAGTTATTATTATTATACCTATTGTTGTTTTGTGTTATTTTAATTTGCGTGCATTTTGTATGTGCTGTCGAGAGAAGTCTTGATAGTCACAGCACATTTATATAATATACAGCGTGTAAATGCTAACTGAGAACGCTCAATAAATTTGCGTAGAGTTCTGAGATTTGACTGCTGTGTTTTGGTCGGTTGTTATCTCATAAAAATACACATTTTTATGGCCTTTGAATATTTTTAACTTAATTAGACATGCGCAAGGGCAGTACAACTTTTTTTTTTTAAATAGTAACCACCAATTATTTTTTGCCTAATTTTTTAACGAATTTTGGTAGTTAAACTAACTTTTAAAGTACAAAACTGACCAAGTTATAGTGATTTAACCAAAAAACTGCAAAATACACGCGATTTACAATTATTTGACTTGTAACTCCAAAAATAATATTAATAAAATTATATATATATATATATATAATATATATATATATATATATATATATAAACTACTAAGTTTTTAATAAACTTGTGAAATGTAAAACTGATCATCGATCATTGAGTGTTCAAATTAACAAAATATTTTACTGCTAGTACAACTATTAATTTATCAACAAGGTTACAAATTTAATGATTTTTCAAATGAATTTATAGATTTTATTTAAAATTCAAAATAATAATAATTTATATTTTAATTTAAATCATAAAAGTGATAGGGGAGTGGAGTGGAATAATACAGCGATATCCCACAAAATGTTTATCTAATCTCCGTTTTCCGAATATTTAAATACTTTTAAAGTTATAAATTATAAATTATAACTCATAAATTATTTGTCAGAACTTCGATTTTTATGAATCAAAATACTTCAAAAAATATTCAATTTCGTGATATTAAATTAAAAATGTATGTTCTCATTCAAAAGAGTAAAAACTAAGAAATTATATTGATTTAAAAAAATATTAATAAATATAATTTTTTTTCAAAGAAAAGTTGTTTTATTTTGATTAAAAATTATGTTAAAAAAATATTTTCAAAAACGTTAATAGGTTTTGAAATAATAAGAGTTGTTTGATAAAAAAATCACTTAGTGTACATTTTAATTTGTAATAAATTACCATTATTTTTGAAAGATAGTCAATGAATAAAATTATAGTGCATATAAAACTATAAAGTAAACTATGCAATTTTTAAAAATAATAATTTAAATAATATATCAGTACATTTACTTTCAAATAGTTTTAAATTGAAAAACTTTCAAATCTTTAATTATCTATGATCATGGTAATTATCTACTAATTTATAGTAACAATGTTTAACAATAACATATAACCATATAGGCTATAATAGGTACAAAACAAAGTTATTATGTGTCAAGCAATTTCTCGTTATTAAATAATGTTAAATATATAGAATATAAATATTTAGTTATTATACTCGTACACGGTACACTAATAGTTAGAAAACTTATTATCTATGAATCTATGATAAAATATGGTATACTAGTAGATATATAATAACTGTAGAATATTATATATTATATAATTAATGATTTAATATTATATATTATATAATTAATGATTTAATATTGTTTTGGAAATGCTTACAATTTCGATTCAAATAGAAACAAGAACGTAAGGATAGATACTAGTTATTATATTTTAATATTTATTGAATACTATTAATTATTAAAACATTAACATTAAAATTATGCACTACATAATAAAACAATTCTTAATATAATAATGCTACATTTTATTGTACGTTTATAATATTTTTCGGTATGTTTGAACACGATTTATTGATAATATTATCGACCATCTGATTGATTTGATTGTCGACGACACACATGTTGGCGAAAATCGTTAACTTATCCAATACGTAGGGATTCTGTGATCAATAATCAAACAAAAATATTATTTATTATTTGATGGTTACACTATTAATTTTCAATTGTATGTGCAAATAGAATAATGTAAAATTCGTGTTACGTTAGATTTGACTAATCAAAACTTGTTCAAATTACATGTTTAAATATTCACGTCAAATACCTAAGTTTTTCACGTTTTAGTCTCAACAGTACAAAACTTCACAACGTAAATTCACTAATAAGAGAAAATTGTATGGTGTATTCACACTCACCCGAGGCAAAAAAAAGCAGGTCTTGGTGATTTGATTCAAAATGCTTCTGTAGCATGGAAACATGGATAAATTCAGTTTTATATAATTGGGTTTGTCGTAGTCTCCGATTTCGCTCTTAATGTTCGGCCTCTCCTTCACTATCTCCGAGTAAATGTTTTTGAGTACAGAGTCTATGACGTTTCTCATCTGAAACACAATTTGAAAACTTGTATAAAAACACATTAATCACCTTCTAGTTGATAAACGCTTTGCGGTATAGCCAAGAATAAGAACACTTTGAAATTTTGTAGAAAGTCTCTGCGAGAAGTCACAATTAATTGTGAAAATTCATCAGTTCTACAATATCCAAGTGACTTTTCCATTTTATTTCTGCAAAATTTCACAACATTCATAATTTTATAGTGAGCAAATGCTTATTGACCCACAGAATACCTATATTATTATTTGTAAACAATCTTAATATGTTGAAGATTTATAATATTCATTATTAAAATTACCTTGTTATTTTGATGCAATTCTGCCGACAATTTGAGTGTTTCTGGAAGCGACAACTTATCGTGCGCTAATTTATATTGTATGTTGCTTTCGTACATTTCTCGACTGGATACTGTGGTCTATAATATAACAGATCAAGAATTGTGTGTGTTGTAGTTTTTTTGATATAACATAAAAATGATTTTAATTCAAATAATAATATGGTATTTTACTTTTATATTGGTTTCGTTCGATTGTTGCACACCCAATGAGACGTTGCCATAATTTACTTGATAACCGATAAACGAGGAGAGTTTCTCTCTTCCGTTATTAAAATCTCCGTATATCATGACATTACTTTTAGTTACATTGGTTCTAACTTCCCTATAGTCGTTGAAAATAGACCGTGTTTTTGCTGACTGTCTGGACGTTGGCTAAGTATAAATGGAAATATTTAAATAAATATATTAAATTTTTGTATTGAAAATGCTATATTACATATGACAATTTTAAATAAATAAAATTTGTTCAAAAACCACAAAAAAAATCAATAATTTAATGTATTCATAATGTTATTCACAAAACTAAAACACAATAAAAAATGATTTTGATTAACAAGTGTCATAAATTATACAGCTTTCTAAGCAGTTAGTGCTGGTGGCGTTTATAATAATTACAATCGTATAAAAAATCGTTGACAATTTTCAAAAATACTTCCTATTTGTGACAAATTATTGGTAATTGATGTCCAATTTACAGAATGCAAAATAGCCACTTAACATTATTTGAGTATTCTCTCTATCCAAGTAGGTGATACATTTATAGTTATAAAACAATTACATATATACACCTAACTTACTATGTAATTTAATATACATGTATCACTCAAATTTAATGAGTATATTAAGTGCATTGCTTGGATTAGTGGCGCAGTTTATTTAAGTTTAAATATATTATATATCTATGATGAGGATGCGTACCACATCTAAGTCTTCCATCCATGTGACACTGAATAAATCTCCGAGACATGTCTCATACGGACCAGATTCGGATTTGTTGCAGTAACAACGGTATGAATTTTCTCTAGGCCCCGCTGCGGTCATTGCCAAGACTAGTTTTAAAATATAAATATTTAAATAAGTTAAATGTATTATAATTTTTATTTTGATATTGTACTTATTGTAATATCTTAATCTCGGCTTATAACAGATATAATTATACCTAGTTACATAATTATATATTGTAGTTGAATGTGATTTTGAATTAAGTTAGTAAATATATTGCATAAATGTATTACTTGTATAGACAATTTTGATACAATAGTGATATTAGTTCGAAATATTGTAGTAGATATATAAATTTAATGAATATTAAATATATATATATATATATATATGTGTGTGTGTGTGTATAAATATATTATATACATAATTTGTATTACATTAATTATCTGGTATATATTGATTAACTTGGTTATTATGATACATCGATAACAAAAAATCCCACGGTCTAAATATTGAATATTATATTTACTATTTAAATTTTGTATTTTCCCTATTTTTAGTTCAAACTATTTTACTAAGATAATGCTTTAAAAAATATATTTGCATAAAAAAGGTTGAGAGAGATTTTTTTTCAATTCAAAATCTTTTACAATACGACGAATTATCATTATTTTTCATTTTATATTTACGTAAAAATAATCGTTTTTATAATAAAATGATATAAGCTTAATAAGGTAAATTTTGGAGATACAAAAAAGATTTGAGTAATATTTATCTCTTGTGAATATCTTCTAGTTTAAAACTTACTTTTTTTATTTTCACTAAGTATTCCATCAAACATAGATCCAGCTTTATTTGCTTCAATATATAATAACATCTATTCACGGATATTTTACAATTAGAAAATATTTTTTTTTTAATATTGAACTTAACGATTAATATTATAAATATTGTAGTAAGAGGACGCTACATTTGTTTTTTTAAAGCATTTAACATAGACAATTTTAATAAACTTAATTTTTCAGTTATTATTAGTTAATATACTTATGATATTTGTGAAAAGTACTATTAACTGAAAAATTAAGAAGTAATTGATAAAAATTATATTTTCTCCATAAACAAAAAAAATGTTTGTTCAAAATACTTTAATATTTTGATATCACGTTTGCAAAATAAATTTTTTAGTTTTTTTTAAACAATAAAAAAATAACAAGTTTTAATACATCAATAATTGATTTTGTATTAGTGATCTAAAAAAAATTAAAATTATATTACTTGATCAAAGTTTTTAAATTTTTAAAATTAATATTTAATTATTTTTAACTAAAACAATCGACTAAGAGGAATTTTGTCATATGAAATATTTTTAACAAATATTTTATAAATCTGCAGCGTCCTCTCAACAACAAAGTTTCACCTTTTCATATGTTCTATTTCCATTCATAGAATTAAATGCATCGTTTAGTTCATCGGCATATAAATAATCATCTGGGAAACTTAAGATTCCAGTCGCACCGCGATCGACAAAGTTAATGAAAATCTTATCGCGTGGTCCTCTTTACACAAGCAATTAATTAAAAAATATGATTAGTATAAAATATGTGTTTATAAATATTTGAGTACTTAATTATTATACTTAGCAACAACACAAGAAACTTGACCTTAAAATTTGTTATTAAATCGTATAAAATAGAAAAAGCTGAAACCATTTTATTATTTTTATTTTCCCTTGAAGATTTTTGCAATAAATTAAATATTTTTAATTACATGTATTTTTAGTATAGTTTTACTTGAAAAAGATCTGTTATATTTTGTCATAAGTATTATAATTTGATAATTACTAAAATTTCACTTTTCCTAAATTTAATTCCAAACGTAATAGGTACAAAAAATTTTGAAAGATTTATACTCTTAAAACGACAAAAATGTCGATTCTATCTGATTGTGATTTTTAACATACCCATCTACGACTTTACCAGTTCCAATGGATCGCATGTCTTTTTTGTTACCAGTGATAATTTTTAAAAAATTTGATTTGTTTACGTCCTAGTAAAATGAAAGAAACATCACATTAATAGTATCAATAGTAGTTCAAATAAAATATAAGAAAATATTGTGAATTTTCAATTTATTTATTTACCCTAGTAAATATTATAGGTATATTTTGTAGTTACTACTTGAATTGTTTTCAAGTATCTCAAAGTTTTTAATGCATATTTTTTGCATATTTTGACATTTTTGGGTTTAAAAGGACATATTTTTAGTTTTGTAGTGCATATTTTGAAGATTTTTCGAAAATCATATACTTAAGTGAATGTTTTTCATGATTAAGTACACAAATTATTATATTTAACTGTTTCTATATCCTCATAAAGATTAAAGAGACTAATCTTATCATAGTTGCGAATCTGTAGATTAGATTACAATAAGTGAAATCAAATTTTATTTAGTTAAAACTTATAAAGAGATAATATTAAGTTATAAAAATTAAATATTTAAGGAAAAAATATAATTTTTAGAGCTATACATTTTAGTGTATTAATTTTTTTAAAGGCATATTTAACTGCATATTTTAATTTTTTTGATGCACTAGTGCATATTTTTAAATGCATATTTTATGATATTTTAGTGCATGATTTCCTTGCTCTACTGATGACTTACGAATCATTAAGAAAAATAAAGCTAACAGGATATCAACAGTGTAGTAAAAATTTAAAACCATAATTTAGTATATCTAATACATAATACTATTTATGTACTTAATCAATAATATTGAACAATTTTCCTGGAAAAGACATATAATTGCAAAAACTGTTTTTATTCCATATTTTCATCAATTGTACATTTTATATTTATAGACAATTTTAAAAAGAATAGAACAAAATAATGTTTTAACCATAGAATCGTAAAGTATATGTATTGGAGTATTGAAATAAATTTTATGTGTACGATTATCAGTATTATCACAATGTGTTTATGAGTAAATTCAAAAGTTTCTTACTTTTCCTTTGTAGTCGATTACAACTCCTTGGTAAACATCAGTACCATTTGGCTTGTTAATGATTTTTCCAGGTGTAGGATTCCTTTCATAAAGACGTATCATAAACAGATTAATAATTAGGTACAACTTTAAATAATATTTACGATATAATATAATCATACGGACAACTTTTTTTTATAAATACGATATACATAAAATATAAAAAATTTTAAGTTAAAAATATTAATTGTTATAAAAGGAAATAAATAACTAATATGTTAAATAATATAAAAATATGAAGTATTTAATATTTTTATACCATAAATCGGTAGGTGTATAGGTTCAAGGTATAAATTATAAATAATAACTTAAAATTAAACAAAATGTTTGTAGCATACGTAAAAGTTTTAAGGAACCATAATTCAGTTATTTTTATTAGATACCTATTTAAATTATTATTTAACTTTGAGTTAAAATATCAAACTAAATTATTTTAAATTTTATTTATGAATGAAATTTTTGAAGATTAATTATTATTCTATATTATTCTATATCAAGATGTGAATTAAATTTTTGGTTTTTTCAAGTAATTACTTAAGGTTGTTATGATATATTATGATGATATTTATTATTGCCTATTAGTATAAAATTTACATTCAAAAATACAGGTACGTTTATAATATCTGGTTTTTATGATATTTTTAAATATTAATATTTGCGTTTGCATATTTATATTGTTATTTCAATATTATTTTCATGTTAAAAACAAATATTGCACCTATTTAAGTCATATTGTTTATCGCTTACAAATTAGTAATTACAATATTAACTATTGTAGATCGTATGAAAAAATTATGCATAAATTTAATTTTAACGAATTTTAATCAATGCAAATGTAAAACGCACTAGACCATTGATGTTTTATTATTTTTACGTTAAACTATTTAGAATTAACTATAAAGTCTACAAAATTAATTAATTTTTACCTTGGATTATATGCAATGTCATCTACCATCATTGTTATGATGTTTTCTTTTGGTATTCCGTTATTTTTAATTAATTGGTATGCATGGCATATGTCCGCCTATAGAATGATATTTATTTAATAGTAATTAACTTAAATGCACTAATTTCTTTAAAGACAAAACTACATGTACAATTCAATAATAATTAAAATTAGAATTAAATTAAGCTAATAGTCCATTCTCAATGAAATAAATGTAGATGAGTGATTACCGCTTTGCTGTACATTATAAATGTTGAGAGGGTCAAAGTGATAGATGAGTTTAATTTTAATTTAATAATTTGTCATTATACACGATAAATGATTCTGAGCAAAGGCGGCATATCAGCCAACATCACTATAAGTACGCATATTTCATGTTATGTTTACACTTCAAACGGAGCAATGGATATATTGATTTTACAATGTGTATTTTTTTTCTGTGCCTGTGTACATGATAAGTAGTCGATAAAATGCTCTGAGTTTCAACTTTGAAGGTGATTTTGTATTTTTAATCAAGTCAATTATAAACTATAGAAAAGTAAAAATTTCTTGTATTTTTCCAAAATTATCGGGAAAAAATTAAAGTAAAACGGGTATTTTTACACAAATTTAACTTTCAACAAAATCGACGTTGTTTTTTTATGTAATTCAAAAACTAAAAACTGTTATCACTAAATATTTGTATTAAATATTTATATTATCATTTTCTATAACTGGTATAGTTTTCAAAAAGTTTAAATTTTTTTTAAATTAATTATAGTTATGAAAAATTTTCATTTTTTTTAATATGTATCAAGTTTAAACGCTTTTAAAGAAATATTATGACTAGATATTTTCAATAATTTTAAATAGGTATATGAAAAATATAAACAAACCTTGTATTAAATTTTCAAGCCTTTTAACTAAGCAAAAATATTTTTATCGACATTTATCAAAAAAAAAAAAAAAGTTTTTAGAATTTTAAATTTCGAATGTCTCTAAATAGTTAAAAAATATTTAAAATATACTGAGAATTATAATTTGTTTAATAAAAACGTTTAGTGAAAATATCAAGTATTTTTGATTTTTAGTTTTTGACTTACATGAAAAAAAAAACCAATTTGTCAAATATTTGTCACCTCCACCATTAGATTATGATAAAATTTATTATTAAGGAAAAAGTCACTGATATCTAATTTGTGGAATACCCATATACCCATTATTACTGGCACGTATTTCTCAGTTAACAACAGTTACTACAACAGTGAGAATAAAATGTGCATTAAAAAGTTAACGGAAGCATTGTATGAAATACTCGCATCTACGTATATTGAATATATGTCCAGTAAACTAATGAATGTCATCAAAGAAGCTGAATTCTGTCAACTAATTTAATAAAAATTACCCTAGTGAATCTGTAATGTATAGCTAAAATTATAAATATATAAACGTAATGTAATTTATATGATCGCTGATAGTCAGCAATTTAATTTATTATTAAGTGTCTTAATTTTTTTTTTT